GGTCCTCACACAAATAGGCACACATATGCATACACACACAAAAAAAAAAAAAGAAAAAAAAAAGAAAAAAAAGGCTGGTCCTTGGTTGGTGCTTTTGGTACATCCAGAGGAAAAGCATGAATGGGAGAGATGGGGGGGGGGCACTGGCACACGAACTCTGGTGAGGGTTATGACACACTATGACACACTTCCAGAATGTTCAAGGGGACTTCCAAGGGAAGCCTGAGAGCTGGAAAAGCATGTCCTACCTCTTGAGGAGACAAGTTACAGACTCCAAGAATCCCCTCTGTGTCTGCCTCCTTCTCCCAAACCCACTCTCCAATACCTTCCTCCATGTTCACAGGCAGCATGAAGGCTGCCTGGCTATGGCTGCCCGACACACACACACACACACACACACACACACACACACACACACACACACACACACCTTTTTGACTCAACATTTCACTTCTGGAGATTTAATCTTACATGTAGACAAGAAGCCCATGACTGGAGCCTTAGAAATAAGGGAGCTTGGTAACACCCCAGATAAATTGTGTGTGTCCAGACAAAAGAATTCTGTGTGGTAAAAAGAAACAAGGAGATGCTTTGTGTTCTGTATCCCTCGAGACATGATGATGAGAAGGAAAAAAAAAAAGCAAAGCATTCTGGGTAGGGAGGGATACCTTCCTATGTTTCTCTTTTTAAGAGGGAAGGAAATTGTTCAGGGTTTATAAACATTTAAATCTCCTTGTGTGTATAAATTGCAGCTGAAATGACACAACAAAATGAACCTATTGTTGTGTAGCAGAGCTGATAACCTGATAAGCAGGTTTGGAGGTAGAGTTTTCACTGTGTACCAATGACAAGATCAATACTGGCTCTTAGAAACTGGGACGAGTTCACCAAGTCACTAGGAAAAGTCTTATGTTTTCTTTCCTCTAGAGCAACGCTGTGACCTACTTGAAGCTGTGCTGCTCACACCAGCCTACAGTTAGCTTTAAGAATGTCCTAACTTCCCCTGCAGACCCAACTGCTTGTCTTCCGAAAGTCAGAGACCTGGGGTCCCCATCCCCCCCCCGTCCCCCCCCCTCCAGCAAGTGCTCTTGTAGCTTCCCCCTCCTGCGTACAGGGTCTTAAGAAAGCCACGGTTTCAGTTCCTACTCTATGGACTTCATGTCCACGAGAACGAGTCTTTTCAAAACAATTTGAACCATGTGAAAATTTCCTATTAAAAACACCCCATTTGAGTAGACAGTCTGGACATTTGTTTTGCTTTGTTTTGTTTGTTTTGTTTTTGTTTTTATCCTTTGACAATTTTATATGTATCTAATGTATTTAATCATATTCACCCCCCATTCCTATCCAAACAAATCTAATTAAACTCAGTGAGTCCTAAAAATATGTTTTAGGCTGTGAAAGTGAAAGATAACTAGACTGAGAGCATCAGTGAGTGATGGAGGATGAGAGGGGGTCAGTGGGTGATGGAGGGTAGGAGAGAGGGTCAGTGGGTGATGGAGGACGAGAGAGGGTCAATGGGTGACAGAGGATGAGAGGGGGTCAGTGGGTGATGGAGGACAAGAGGGGTCAGTGGTGACGGAGGACAAGAGGGGGTCAGTGGGTGATGGAGGACGAGAGGGGTCAGTGGGTGACAGAGGACGAGAGGGGTCAGTGGGTGACGGAGGGTAGGAGAGGGGTCAGTGGGTGACGGAGGACGAGAGGGGTCAGTGAGTGACGGAGGACGAGAGGGGTCAGTGGGTGACGGAGGACGAGAGGGGGTCAGTGGGTGATGGAGGATGAGAGGGGGTCAGTGGGTGACGGAGGACGAGAGGGGGTCAGTGGGTGA